GCAGAGAAATGCAAATCAAAACTACAATGAGGTATCACCTCACACCAGTCAGAATGGTCATCATTCAAAAGTCCACAAATGACAAATGCTGGAGAGGCTGTGGAGAAAAGGGAACCCTCCTACACTTCTGGTGGGAATGCAGTTTGGTGCAGCCACTGTGGAAAACAGTACAGGGATTCCTCAAAAGACTAGGAAGAGACTTATCATATGATCCAGTAACCCCACTCCTGGGCATATATCCAGAAGGAACCCTACTTCAAAACGACACCTGCACCTCAGTTTTCATAGAAGCACTGTTTACAATAGCCAAGACATGGAAACAGCCTAAATGTCCATCAACATAAAGATAAAGAAGATGTGGAATACTATTCAGCCATAAAAAGGCAACATAACGCCATTTGCAGCAACATGGATGTCCGTGGAGAATGTCATTCTAAGTGCAGTAAGCCAGAAGGAGAAAGAAAAGTACCATATGAGGTCGCTCACATGTGGAATCTTAAAAAAAACAAAGAACAAAAACACAAAACAGAAACAGACTCATAAACACAGAATACAAACTTATGGTTGCCAAGTGGGAGGAGGGTGGGAAGGGATAGCTTGGGAGTTCAAAATTTGTAGATACTGACAGGTATATGTAGAATAGATAAACAAGATTATACTGTATAGCACAGGGAAATATATACAAGATCTTGTGGTAGTTCACAGTGAAAAAAAGTTACAGTGAGTATATGTATGTTCATGTATAACTGAAAAATTGTGCTCTACACTGGAATTTGACACAACATTGTAAAATGACTATAACTCAATAAAAAATGTTTAAAAAATAATTTTAAAAAAGAAGATCATTCCAAAAGAAATGATCAAATGACAATAAGAGAAATTCATGAAAGCGGAAATAAAATGATGTATAGTATATGACAAATATTTACTTTCACAGTTAGCTGAAAAATAAAAACCATTTCACCCCATTGAATTGAAAAACATTAAAAAATAAGCTGGCAATGTTTCTGAGAATGTGGGGAACTGGACATTCTCATACACTTCAGACAGGAGTGTAGATTAACAAAAGCTTTCTTGAAAGCAGTTTTGCAGTGTGTTATGTGTTTAAAATGAATATACAGTTGAGCCTAAGGAAAAGATTATAATATACATTTTACTTGAATTTAAATGCATAGATATTTATTACAGTATTCTTATTACAGCACAAACTAGACTAATCCAGATTTCCAACAAAAGATGATTTTAAAAAATGATGATATCCATGCAAAGGGATACCATGCAAATCTGCCTTTGAAAGAAGATCAAGAATTCGTTTAAAAGCTGTCCTGAAAAGCACCATTTATTATCAGCTCCTTAACACGTTGTTCCCACACACCCTTCAATTGGAGTAACAGAATTTAGCCACTTCATAGTTCTATTAGGAAATGGGAAATCTACTCTAGAAATACCTCAGAGTGAACTAATACAGTGAGTCAAGTTGCATTAGAATTAGCTGATCAGTCACTAGGCTGACGTTGTCTATTATCTGTGGATCTCAGTTACCTTTATAGAAGGTATAGTCTGTTAGTCTGTAGAAGGCATTGTCTATAAGAGTCTGAGATTCATTTCTCTTCTCCTTGGTACCACTTTGTATCTTGGATCTCCCCAGCGGAACATGCCCAGCCAGACGCATATGATAAGAGTGATTATTTGATCTGTGAGGCTTCAGCAGCAACTTGCCTCTACCTATATCATAATAATAGAATCGTGGGGCAGAGATTGGTTAAATTTCCTCATTCTTCTGGGCTGTTTTTATCCCCTGATTATTCTTCAGTAGTGTTCTCTAGCTTAGTAACTGAGAACACCTTTCAAGCAATTGTGTGAGGTGGTCTTCATGTGAACTCTGAACAGGGCCCCCCTGCCCCCCAAAAGTCTAGTCCCATTAGGATTATGGAATATATGCTGAAGTTTGTAATTCTTTGGGAAGGTCTACAGTGTTAACAAGTGATACGTAAAAAATGATTCCGAAATGGCCCAAGATAAACTGGGCAAAAACTAAGTCCTTACAAGCAAAGTAGAATCATCCAGAAGTGACCAACATTCTCAAAAGTGAGAACTGTTCTGAATCCAGGATCTTCTCAGGCCTTTCAGGCTCATCAGAATCCAGTCTAATTTTGACATCAAGGTCCCCAGCTAGCCTCATACTTGGACCAAAAGGCACAAATGTCTCACACATCAAGGAAGGGGGGAGCCACTCCACTGATCTGCCATCGTTTGACCTGGTACTGAACCATTTTGCCACTAGTTCCTGATTTCTGGCTAGCTATTGCTATGAAACAAATCACCTCAAAATGTAGTAGCTTGAAACACGATCATTGTGTTTTTGTGGTTTCTGAGTCAGGGATTTGGATGCGTCTTGGCTGGGTGGTTCTGGTGTGGAGTTTCTTAGGCATTTGCAGACACGTGGGGCTAGACTGGGGTGGCAGGGGTCTGGTGCAGCTGGAGGCTGCTGGGACATCTCTGTCTGTTCACGTGATTTCATGTAGTACCTTCATGTGTGATTTCCACATGGACTAATTTGGGCTTCCTAACTGCATGGTGGCTTCCATGAGGGCAGGTGGACTGTGTGTATAGTCAGCACTCCTGTGTGAGTCCCATTCTCAAAGCAGAAGCCGTGTCACCTTTTATGACCTAGCCTCAGAATCTCCTCAGCTTCACTTCTGCTACATTCTGTTGGTTATGAACTACTAGCCAGTCCACACATACAAGGTGAAGGGAATCAGGCTCAACCTCTTAATGAGGGAGTGGCAAGCTCTAGAAGAGCCTGTGGGATGGGAGATACTATTGTGGCCTGTGGGATGGGAGGTGGTATTGTGGCCATCTTTAGGAAATACAGCTGCCACACCTGGATTGTCAGTCAGGCCATTTAGGGTCATTGAGTTCAATGTGAAAGAACTTTTGCAATCTTAAAATAACAAAGGCAAATTTTTGTATTTAGAAGGAAATTGGGAAGGGGAAACAGTTATTCTTTGGTTTGAAAAGACATACAGAATAAGTTCTGTCCGAATGACCTGATTTCCACTTAGGACTGGATGATGTCATACAGAGATGGGTGCATCTGAAGGAGGGAGCTCTGTGTGAGCTGGGTATCCAAGACTCTTGATTGTGCCTCACCCAGGAGTAACAAGTGAGACCGTAGAGTTCTGACTGTTCAGTTCTGAGTGACTGGAGAATCGTTGTCAGTGGGTCATTTTGAACTTCAGTGCAGTGACAAGTACTATTATACAGGAGTAAGTTCCATATCTAGTGTTTAATACTCATTCATAATTTTATGGCTGTCTAAAATTATGATCAGTAATCACTGAGATTTTACCAAAGTGGAACAAGTGAGAGTGATGGTGATAAAGGATGTGGCTTGACTTCAGACACATGGCTCTTTGGAGAAGTATTAGAATGTAAACAGAGCAGTGATGAATACAGTAAAATCTAGTAACATCTAGAAATGAAAACTCATTGAACAAGCATAAGGTTGGTGGGTCACTGTGGATACCATTTCCTTCCAGTTTGACTCCTGATTTTTTTCTCTGTTGGAGCCCTTGCTCTGCTTTCTAGCCTGGGGAATGAATGGCATTTCCAGCAATTCAAGTAGAAATCTAGAAGTCAGACCCTTCTGTCCCTAACGGCCCCCGCCCCTTTCTGATTACTTAGATCTGTTGAATTCTACCAATTCTGCCTTCGAAGTCTTTCTAAATCTGTCTTTCCTCTCCATTCCTGCAGCCCTTGCCATACTTCTGGTGTTTACATTTCACACCTTCACCCCTGCAGCAGCCTCCTAACTGGCGTCCCTGTTTGAATCTGTTCTTTTATCAGACAGAGGGATCGTATCTTATCAGGCCACTCACCTACTAAAAGATCTCTAATAGTTTCTCATTTCTGAACTGATAAAATCTGAAATCCTTGACCAGGCACTCAAGGACTACATGATCTGGCTCCTACGTACCATTCTAGCCTCATCTCCTGTCCCTGCTCCCCTTACTTTTTTGTCCATCGAAATGAACTGCAGATCCTATGTTTTAACATTTTCATGCTTTTACCCAGACTTGAATGCCTTTCCCAGGACCTTCTGTGCTTAGCAATCTCTCTTCTAGTGAGTGTTTATTAATTATTAGGCCGGTTTTCTGTGCCCCCATCCCACTCTGTCTATTCCATTGGCATACCTCCTGTGATGTGCTTTCCCTTCTAGCCTGTGAATTCTCCAAGGGTAGTGACTGTCACCTGTGTATCTTCAAAATTAGCACAGTGTCGGCACCAAACAGGAATTCAGTAAAACATGGAATAGAATTAAATAAGAAGTGAACAACAATTCAGCAATATCACACTCTCATTTCGAAAAGACTCTTGGTACTTGCATGGCAATATTCACAAAGTAGGATCCCAAGGAGCCACCAGGTGGGGCTGGGGTCCTTACCAGAGCTTTGTCAGTTTCTGAGAACTACAACCCAAGGAGGATTGGGAAGTGAGATGGGAGCTTGGAGCAGGTAAAGAGGAGTCATCAAGGCCCTAAAGATGAAACCTAAAGTATCCAAGGAAAGAAATCTTTAAGGCTGGAGGAGAAGAAGTCAAGGTTCAGCTCAATAATGATACCCACATTTTAAAAATTCCTCTTCACCTAGGAACCAGGAGCAGAGAACATGGCCTTAGTCAGTAGCAGAAGAGATTTAAACAAAGACAGATTTCCTGACAGTAAAGCTTATAAACTGGGACAGGTTAAGTTGGAGATGAAGAAACCTGCCCTTTTAAGGGGCTGGGGGTTGGGGAGATAGAGGTAAGAGACTTCAGGGGAGAACTTTCCCATTGAGTTAAGTCTGCCAAAGATTGGGGGTAGAATCAAAGGGCCTTGAAGTCTTTTACAAATCCTATAAGTCAATGATATTTCCAAATTCTGACTCCATAATAGTAAGAAGATTTCACTCATTTTTTCATAGGAGAAATACTGAATTTATAAGCATACAAGGAAAAGAATTAGTAGTCCCTCTCTGAAGAGCAATCAATTGATGATGATACTTGATTCTAGCTATTTTTACTTTTACTTGCTGTAAAATATCAGTAAAGAAAAGAATTTTTTAAAATGACCCGCTGACTGTTCTCAGGTAACACTTGTGGCAAGATAGGATTGTTAGCTCTGCTGTCGGAAAAAATTGTGTGCCTCCCTTGCTTTTATGCTGACACTTTTCCACCTTTCTGATACTTAAATACCATACAGTAGTCCACAAGGATGTTCACGTGTTATTAGTGGAAACTGCATTAGCAGTTAAAATTCCTGTGTGTTCCTTTTCTGTGTCATTAGAGGAATTGGGAACCTTTGGAATGGAAAATATTCTTACGTATCTTTTGCAAAATTTAAACTTACTATTTCTTTCTCCTATAATCCCTTTGACCTTGCCTATACAGTAAAGAATCATTAAAAGAAGCTCGTATAAAACTCTTCTTATACTATAAGGCTAAGAATAGTTTAATAGGAACTGATCCACAGCTTTAATCCATGTTAAGGAAAAAGATTTTGCAAATGTTTTTCTTCAAAGTTCTAAAGTAAATGAAGGGGTACAGAAAGAGTCTAACAAGAAAGCCTTATTAATGGGAAAGACATTCTGATAAATCAAACTGATTCCAATCTTAATAGTCAATTTAAATAATGGAATTGGTTAACAGCATCAAATAAGGATTAAAGAAAGGGATAAAAATCTATTTCCACAAGTTGTTTCAAAACAAGACATTCACTGGCTAATGCCATATTATATCAATCTGATTATACTGTACATAATAAAGCATGCCCTACAATAAAATCCTGCTGGGAGATGTGTTTAATCAGATGCCTTTGATATTATTTGAGCAAAAGCTACTTCGGATTCAAAAGACTCAAAGAGAAAAATCTTCAGCCTCTGCAATCAATCTTAATCCACTGTGGATGCTCCCGCTCTGTACACACCCCATCCTAACCTGCTCCCAAACATAAGCAGGAGCTAACTGGTTGAAATTTCACATTTGTCTTCTCACAAGTCATGAACAGAAATTAGTTTTGCTTAATAACCATGTTCCACCCCGACAGTTCATTTCTAAGCTTATCACAAATCAAGATAAAGATTTTCTGCTGGCAGGGATTTTAATGTTCACGAGTGACTACAATTAACATCCACCCCAAAATAATTTAAAATTACTATCTTAGCTAGCTTTGTTTGGCTCCCACAGGAATTAAATCAACACATTCATTTCCCAAGACAATCTTTCTATGCCACTGATCGATTTTAAGCCAAATTTTGTGAAGATATGTCATAGAAATAACATGAAAAGTTTTATAACTTACTTTGCTCCTTCTTCCACGGAGTGTACTATTTTTGCATTTTCCTGAGCTTGCCACTTTAGTTGTGGAGTTCACTTCATGCTGCCAGCTCCCACTGTATGTCAGAACAACTTAAAGTGGTCCTCCCTTTGCCAGTTTGAAATTGGTCTTTAAATTATAATCAGCTCCAAAGGAGGCTGTTGGATGTAGGGGATTTAGTTCAGTAACTCTGAGGCAAGAGGGCTCCACACGGCTAGGGCTTTCTTTCCCTCTCTGCCAGTTCCATGGGGTCGAGTGCGTCTCTGGGGGGAGACAAGACCCAGTCAGCTACGAAGTTGCTGATGCAACCCAAAGCTACTTGGGAAGGCAGTGAGAACAAAGGCGTCACTTAGG